TTTTGGGTGACTTTTATAGCCAAAAATGAGGATTATTTTAAAATCAGAGAAAACCAGGATCTCTGCTTATCAGCCTCTCTGAAAGAGTATCTAGCCCTTCACCACAGAACTGGATTACCATTTTATGAGGCATAAAGCAGCCCTGTTCCAATCATAATACGTTAATAAGACACTGCAGAAACAGTTTAGACATGCAGGAATCTTAGATGGTGCAAGAGGTTTATTGCACTTGCAATAAACTAACAGGAAAAAGATTACTCATGAAACAAAACTTTAGCACAGGTAACTGATAGAACCAGAGCAACATGGACGAATCAATTATGTGAAGTGATGTCATTTAGCTCACCTACCGTAGAAAGGACCAGAGAAAGAACTAGCCAGAAGTTGCTTCAGCCTGTGGAGTCATTAACTATAGTTGTAGGAAATTGTAAAAGGAAAACAAATAGCTCAGGGTCTGCTTGCACTATGTTGAGCTGTTTGTAGGTAGCTCCATCCGAGTACGAGGTTAAAAACCCATTTTAAGCTACCAACAGTGAGCATTAAAGGGATGAAGCTGCTACAATCTCAGTGTGCAATACTGTTTCACAGAATAAAGCCTCTGGTAGTCTGAAGAAACTTCAGCTTTTCTACATGCAGACTATGGGCTTTCTAAGGGGAAATTTCATGTACATGCTGTTGCCTCATTTATCCAGACACTTTTCTTCTCTATTTACAACACATATGTGGAGTAATATCAAAAAAGCGAGGCAAAGAGAAAGCGTTGCAAACATGGAGCCCCTAAATCCAAAGCATTTAAACTTGAAAGTTACCACTGACTCCATACAGTAAAAGTTTGCAATGTATTCAGTGTTGTGACCTATCGGAAATAAGATGGTAGCAGTCCTAGATTCCCAAGTTTCTCATATTAAGTCTCTAATCTTGGTCAAGTGTGGCTAATCTGTGCTCCATAGTCAGATAACAGCTCAGCCACTAACCATTTCCCCATCCACTGGCTTCAAGAAGACTGAGCAGTTTTATTTCCTCCAAGATCAATGCAGAACTTTGTGTGTTGGGCATAAGCAGGGTAAAAGATAATGAAAATGGCATCCCACAAGTCTTGCATTTGCACACTTCACTGGACATACTGATCTAATATTTGAACTTCATCACTTCCAACAGTGATAAATATGGGAGAGGAAGGAGGTCTGAAGGCACATACAGTAATGGACGTAAGCTTCTCTTAGGATTAAGACAGTCTTAAACTGTATTCTAAATGCCTGGCTTTTTGCACAGTATGTCTCCACATTGAAAGAAGATTGCATTACTCCTTGTTATATTACTGCATCCTCTCTCCCACCACTGATTGAGAGGTTTCACTCTAATTGCTAATGCAGCAATCTACTGAACAGTTCACATAAAATATTATGCTGCATTAGCAAATCAAATAGTTTACTGAATGTCCATGCTATCTTCTGGGTAGGCTTGTTTTACTCCATTTAAGGCAGTTAGGTTTATTATTTGGCAGGAATCATTTGTGGTTTTTCACCATTTTAAATCATGTGGGAATATTTGTCATAAAAACATGCTGGTAAAAGTTGTCTGCATTGTCATGGTTTTCACTGATTTCATATATAAAGTGCAAACAGACTGAATTTTTAATGCACGTCATTTTGAAAGGATATTAAGTTAGCTTCCATCCACACAGATCATATTTCTGACAGCAAAGTAACCAGTTTGAATAGTATAATGTTCTCTTCTATTGATATAACAACAGTAGACAATAACAGAAGAATCACAGTCTCTGATATTCATTATTGGCAAGAATAGCAGTAATCATTGTAAAATACTATATTCCACCCCAAGGCTAAGCCTTCCCAGGATGGAGTTAAACAAAGGCTTTTGTCATTTCTTCGATATATAACTGTATTAAATACTTAGTACAATACTGTCAGTCATAAAGATAGATTTCACATCGTTTTTACAGGCAACTGTTTACGACACAATGTACAGTTCTATAAATATAAAATATCCATGGCACATACCTGCTTACAAATGAAAACTACTTAAAAAAAAAAAAAAAAAAAAGGTTCAACATTGTTGCATGACAAATTGCAAGGCCAGGGGATGCTTTAATCTGGAATTACAGGGATGGTGAAGGACTTTCCCAGAAAGTGTGATTTAAGGTAACTGGCACTCTGTGGAAGCCTGACAGAACAAGAGCTGGGAGACTGTCTTTCCAGTGCTCTTAGTGCTATCCCTGCTGACCCTCAGACAACCTATGGAAGATAGGAATGTGATCCATAAAGCGAGGACAGAAAACTTATGTTTGCTAGAGAGAGGAAAGGGGGAAGATGACCAGAACAGAAAAGAAAAACCACAGGCACATTCCAGAAGCAACTAGTTTTGAAGACATTATTTCCAAATTTCACCATTCCTTTGTCAGCACATTCCTATGAAACTACTGGTAATGTGTGGGTCTCCCCATCCCACACTTGTGGCAGATTCACAGAAGAGTGCTAGAAGGTCATTAACTATTACTCCATTAGCTCATATGATAAAACTGCAGCATAACTAAAAATATCAACCCTGCTGACAAATCTTGTAAGGGGTCAATATGATTCCATGTATATTCCTAATTTTTCAAAATGAAACTAAATTTATTTCCAAATTTTATGTTAAAAAAAATAAAATCCTTGCATTAAATGAACTGTAGGATTGCAGAAATAAGCTCTTAAAAGTTTGGCAGTGGCAAGTTGGGCAACCATTTTAAGGTAGGTGAAACAGCTATGTTAGTCTAAGGTCAAGTAGAAGATAGATAGTCTGTAAGATGCAAATCTCCTCTACCTTCCCTATCTACCAAAATAGCACAAGCTTTTGAGAGCTGAAGCTCACTTCATCAGATGCTGGTTCATATTCATAAATAAGGTTGCCAATATCACCATATCTCTGACCCCATCGTGCACAAGTATTATGGTAGTCTAGTCCAGTGGCCTCTTAAGTGGGGTGCACACACCCCAGGGGGTGCGCAAGACGATCCATTGGGGTGCAGGTAGAAAATATTAGAACTTTTATTTATTTATATTTACATAAATATACATATATTGGGGGTGCGTGCTCAAACATTTTTTACTGATAGGGGTGCGCAATCAAAAAAGTTTGGAGACCACTGGTCTAGTCAATCAATTTTGTCCCTCCTCAGATTGCTTAAGTATACTCTTAAATCTTTAGTATAACCTTACTTCTGGCATTTTCTAACTTTTGACTGCTTTCACAAACATGGACTATTTTTGTTAAAGGTATACTAGAAATTACTATTTTAAGTGATACAAATTAGTGGAAAGTTGTTTTACTTGGCCAAGTTAATAAAATGAGTCTGTCTTCTCAGACTGGTGAAGACATATTTAAAAGTGTTTTAAATTTGAAGGCATTCCCAACTGCCAGTTTTCCAAAATAAACCCAGTATTCTTACATTTAGAACACAATCAGCAGTCAGACTTTTTCACTGGAACTGAAAAACAAATTAGTCTCTAAACTATTTCTACACCAGTTAATTATCATTGGTGAAGCTTCATTAGGCAGCTGATGTACCTATATAAGCTGCTCATTAAGGCATGCAAGCTTAAACACATAAGTCACATAGCTCTAAGAAAACATTGCTAGTTAAACTATGCGTTATTACTAAAACATTTAGAGATTATCCCCTTTCTTTTCTGTTTACAGTGATAAAACCATCATCCCTTGTAAAATTATCCTATTTTTGAATTAACAAAATATAGTATGCCACTTATAATCTTAGTGATTTCTATTTGATCCTTTGATATTAATGCAAAGACAGCACAGCTTGTCCTGCTTAATAAATTCCTCTTAATGAAATTGGAGCACTTTCAACTCTGCTGGTGATTATTGCAATGTTCTATCCATGTACAGATACAAAGAAAACTTTCTTCAGTGTTGGTTTTTTCAACCTTATATTGTGTTCCACTGATAAAGTGCACCCTCTACCCCAAACAGGTGGGAAAAAAGGAAGTTCATTAACATCTTGATTTTTTTCCTTTCCCCCTCCAACTAGCTCATGTGTAATAGTTGTCACTTGTTCTAACAGCTCTCCAGGTGGCATCTTTAGACAGACATTCTGACTTTTTATTTAAGAGAGAAAAGATGGTGGTAAGTGATAAGACAGATTCCCAGGCCTGTTTCTTTCTGTGACGAAAGAGGATGTAGCTAGAAAGATTTCTCCTGGAGCAATCCACTCACAGTACCTGCAGCTACAATTAAAGGAGAGAAAGCATATACCTGCTGGGACACCACTGAAGGATTAGTTTACTTTGCCAGCAGTTCTGTTTTGGAAGCAAAGCTGATTAGCTACATCTCCAAGCACCATTTGGATACAACTGCAGAAACTCAGCTTATACAAAAGAAAACAGTTTTCAAAACTATCCTAAACCATGAGATCACTATCACTGGAATTCACTTGAAGAGTAAAACTGTTGAAGGAAGTTAGAAGTAACAAACACCCCGTGCAATAGGAAAAAACAAGCATTTCACACAGCATTAAGTAATATCTACTTGGATGATAAATGTACAAGCCAGCAACGATTCTGAAAGGAAAATCATGAATATTATGATTCTTTCTACAAATGTACAATACATTTTTGGACTTGTTGCACAGAAATAGAGATAGTTAACTATTATTTTTCCATCACCCCTTTCACTTTAGAGAAATACCATACATCACCATGTCAGCCCAAATATCCAATGCAAGATTCTAAGATATAGCCTTAGTTCTACCAGCATTAGTTTATAGATATTCAGCTTATTTTCCTCACAATAAAACTTAGCTAATGATTCATTTTAGGTGATTGTCTAAGATGAAATCTCATAGGAAGTTATTCCAAAACAACCCAGAGATGAAAGTCTTATGCATGAATATATGCTCAGAGAATGTACATGTGTGCACACACCTGTGTGGGGGCAGTGAGAGTACCCATCTACAATTGCAGCCGAAACTAAGTAAGACAATAAAGGATAAATTCAAAGTTTATTCCACATGTGGTACAGTTTGTCAACATGTTAGGAAAGTATCAAAATTTGTATTATTAACATATGGCAAGAGTTATTTTCTTACAATACATTAATGACAAGTTTTTCCAATTAGGATAATTTAAACTGCTGACAGAGCAATTGCGTTAAATCTTAATTCTTCTGGATCCCGTTCCATGAACTTCTTGCAAACTTCTACTGCATCCTATTTAAAAAATAAACAAACAACATGGAATTATGCTATTTCTCATTGTATGAAAAAAGGAAAATTGGCACCTCATCCATTTTATACAAGCTATCTCCATATAGGATTCTTCCATTTTTTACACAAACCTTATCAGTGTATCAAACTGATTTGGAAATAATTTCTGTTCTAATTTCATGCAGGATACTATTACCCGTTCCCAAGTAAATGAATTCAGAGAATAAACAGTGTAGTAGTTAACTTTATGATTCTTAAATTCATGTTATTGTACACAGTATTCTAGATGAACTTCTACAGAACTATCCATTTTTATTAACACTATTGTAATTAGAAACTTACATTTTGTCTATTAATATAATTGAGCAATCTAAGCAATATTACCAGCTGTATTTATTGCACAAAAGGAGGACTTCAAATAACTCTTGCATTTTGGCACAGGGCACAATACAGCTCTTGATATTTACTACAAAACTTGAATGAAGAATCTGAACAAGTTAGCAGTATTTTCTTTTCCCTTTATCAGGCACAGATTTCATGTCGTTTTATATCATCAGTAGTTACTTCTTAAAGAGACAGGTTGTGTCTCTCCAGCCTTTTCCTTCCCTAAAACTAACCTAGACTGACCAACATAAAGGTCAAACCCCAATGCATGGCCCTAGCTCTCCCCCTCCCAGACAATACCTTCCTATTGGGAAGGCGGGGGGCGGATGACAGAGGAGTTTATTTTCCAGGTTAAATGTATTCTTTTTGGATTCCCTTTTCAAATAAAACAGCTTCTGACAGAGGCAGCCATAAGCTAACATGATGAAGAGAAAAAAAAAAAAAACAGCCACAGGGAATAAAAACAGGTGTTTTTGGTGCTGGTGAGAAGGGCAAAAGGAGAAAGTGCTGGAAGAGTAACCACGGTCCAGCATAGCAATTAACTATAAAAGAAATGAGAGAAAGGAGGGAAGAATATTAAGTGTTTGCTCAAAAGTTCTCAAAGACCAACTCCCCATTCCTTGCACATAGCCTGCAAGCAACAGTGGTATAGGAAAATAACAATAAGGGATAAAAAATGCAGCTTGAGCTGCTGGTGTAATAGTCACTTAGTGTTCCTGGTCAAGCAACCATAGGAAGATGCTCTCTCATACAGAGCAGCATTTGTATGGGAGTTCATGAACACCCATCTCAGTTCTGAGTACAGGTTGTTTTCTCTGCCTCCCTTCATATGATCATACACAAGTAGATAATGATCTAAATGCACTAAACTTATGCTGGGTGGGTTGTATTCATACCTCTAAAAAGTTGTCATCACTTGTCTGCCCATGGTTTATTGGAAATGGTTTGCGTCCATCTGTTGAAACATGAGAGATTACAGGAGATTGCAAACCGAAGATTGAAAAGCTTGTCATTTTTTCCAGAATGTACACTTGAACATTTAAAATAATCACTTCTCAGTAGGCATATGTTAACACAATTAGTTTGCTTAGATTAGATGGTAATGCACCTTAATACTTTTCCTATTATGTTGGCTTCAACAAAAATACAGTATTACAAACAATTAGTAAAATGACAAAGCGTGCGCATGTGTACATATACGCCTGAAAAATGTAGATGATATCCAAGGCACTTAGTAAGAGAGAACAAGAGATCTGAAACTATCTGTGACAAGTTAAAATAGTATTCCTCTAGGAGCCCTGAAGAGAGATTTAGACCCACCAATTCTGAAGGGATCAAAGGCAAAATAACTTAAATATTACCCTCAATTAAAAGATACAAGTCACATGACATGATAAAAGTAATACTAACAATTTAACTTAGACAAGTGTGCAATACTAACCTAGCCCTATATGAGAAATGATCTAAAAAGGCAACTATAAAGAAGTTTAATTTTTCACTGACTACATAATAATACCCTTTACGTTTAGTACTTCTCAAATATTTTTACTTGTTACTCTATAAATATATCAACTTACTTTTGAAGAACTTCGATGTTGAAACATATACCAAAACATGAAATTTTCTCTCATTTCTGCCAGGGGCCAAATGATCTTGCCAGGCCAAATTCTCTTTTAAGTATTAATATACCATAATTTCACTAAGCTTGGCAGCACTTCTAAACTACAACTGACCTAAAAATCCCTAAAATTACACTTCTGAAATGTATTATTAAAACCGTTATTTTTACTTTAATGACCATCTTCTTTTATACTGCAGGAATGAAGATAAAGAAAAAACACATTCCAAGAAACAGAACTGAATGCCACTGTATTTTGCAAACTACTGAATTTTTAAGTTCATTCTGGCACAACATTTGTATTTCAGTTGTATATAAACAACATGGTTTTCCGTGGCAAAAGCACAAGCATTCACGATCTTGTGGTTCTCCCCCCAGCTTTCTGCCTGCCAAGGTCCACAGGCTGGTCAGAGCAGGCAAAAACTGATGACACAGTACTTTTCCCTAGCCCCAGTCTGACCCTGTAGCAGTTGCACAGGCCGAGCTGGGGTTGTGCTCAGTGCTCTAGGCTACAGTATGGACACAGCTTGCAGTACAGAGCAAAGATAAGGGGGGGAAGAAGGGAAGAGTGGGGAAGGTAAGGGAACAGAGGCTGAAAGGGGGAGAAAGAGGCTGAAGGTAGGAGATGACAGCAAGCAGAAGTGGGCAGGAGGATGCAGCACCAGCAGCAGCTGCAGCCCCAACTCCAGGTAGGGGCTGAAACCCAAGGCACTGCAGCACCTGTTCCCCAGCGTCCTCGTACTCAATTCTAAGATGAGGGGCTTTTCCCCATGTTAATTTACTCAGAACTGAGTAGATATGGTAATTGCATTCTATAGTTTTTACCCCACTATGAAACAGTTTAGAAATTCTCTCTCATGAATGAGACATGCTATTTAATAATAGTCCATCTCAAGTGTCCTTGATATATGTAGACTCTAATCTGTGCAGTTTAAAAATACTGTTAAATTAGGTGTTCATTTTCAATATTTTATTAATTGCAGTGGTATATGGCATTATACAATAATAAAGTAAATTCAATGATATTTATGGCTGGTGGGTTGTGCTAACTGCTACATGCAAGTCAAATCGTAGAACTACAACTGGTATCAGCAGTGAACCAGACAAGCAAAACAAATTTACTAGGAAATAGCTGGCACTCTTAAAACTGGGTAAGTGATGACTTTATAACTAAGATCTACAGGGGTAGTAAATTGCTTGGGATATTTGCCAGAAATAAAATCCCTGGCAGGTGTTATTTTATTGTGTGATTAACATGTTAAACGTGATAAATTGTAACATGCCACATATTCAAATTAAAGCATGATGCAATGTAAACCATCTTTGTCACTGGTTTGTATTGCACTTTCAATTTATACATATGGCATGTTGAAAGGTGCTCAGAGCACTGGGCTCAGGAGCTAATCTCTGATGCAGGGCTGCCTGCAAATTCATTTAAATTTCCCACTGGGAGCCCAAAACTGAGAAGGCAGTCTCAGATGCTGGGCTCCTTGCATGCCAGCAAGTATAGAAGTCATACTGGGCAGCCCAATATCTAGGACCAGTTCCCAATGCTCATCTGTTGGGCATGGCTTTTAAAGGTCTGGGAGGGTGACAGGGAGCTAGCAATCCTAGGCTCCTTGCTAGCAAGTTTAAAGCTGTGCTTGGCAGCCCAGCACTAGCAAACAGTTATCTGGTACTAGGCTGCCAACCAAGACTTTAAAAGTCTGGATAGGACCAGAGAAATCTTTATGCCAGATCCCCAAAAATCACATGTCCTCCTAGGCTACATCTTGGAAGTTTGGCATGGCAGGACACACAGTTTTTGGAATCTGGGATAAAATTCCTCAAATCCCATCGTGCATTTAAATAAACATCTGCCAGGGGCCTAAATAGCTACCTCTATTAGTCATAGGCATTTTAAGTGGTGGGGAATGCACTATACTGGGAATGATATGGAGTCTTTATTCTACTCCATTTCCAACTAAGAGCTGGTTTCAAGTCACTGCTTCAAACTAGCTTTTTGAAGCGTCTGAAATGAAAGGCTGGTTGCCCAGCAACAAGTATTAAACTAAGAGTATTAAAGAATCCCGGCAGAACTTTGTACGGCTGCATCTGCAGCAAAATTGCCAGAATATTTCAAATGCAGAAGCTAATAATCAGATCAAAATTATGTTTTATTGCTATTCAGAATACTATGCAGAAAAAGGTACTTTAAAATAAAGCCAGTCTGCCATAACTGAATGTCACATTAATAATTCCTGGTATGCTACTTGTACTTGTTTTGTGAATAATTCTCATTTTGGCTGATAGTATTAGTATCATGGCTTTAAGCTACATCTATCTTGTATTATGCAACAGATAGTCAGAGAAATAATTCAGTCGCTTATTCCAAGAAACCAGGAAAAAACCCCTTTAACTGAAGTTAAAAAAACCAAACCAAAAAACCAAGTGTTTTTCTCAGTAATATCATAATTTTAAGTTTTTTTCTCAATTAAGAAAATATCTTACAGCATTGGCATTTTGATTCCTGGTCTTGTAAAGTACAGCGGTAATTTAATGATATCTTCATATCAAATAAACACTTTTCTTAAAAAAAATTAACAGGATGAGTTTACTTATTTGCCAGAAAGACAAACCTGAGTCCATTTTAAACCAATATCGTATTACTTATTGTAATTTCACATTCTAATGTTATTACAGATTACAAGATTACCACTTGCATCTGTTTCAAGAGAAACATGAAAGAAAGTGTTCTTACCCAATTCATACAGATGGCCGCCTACATTCACTAATGCAATAAAGTGAAGATCTACTTTTTCATCTAAACTTGGTGCCTGTAACACAAACAAAAAACACCACAACCATCAGCACAGTACTACTGTCAGGCATCTCTATTTTAGTTAACATGTGACCTACACAAAGAATGGCTTGGCAGAGGAGTACATTTTAGACCATGAGTAAGTCTACAGAATAGCAAGAATGAAACTAAATTTTTGAAACAAACATAAAAATCAAGAGAGTCTTCATGCAAATATACAAGTTAAAAATTTATATATTAAGAATGATCTGAATAAAGCATCTGAAAATTAGTGTAAGGTTATATTGCTACAGAGAATCCTTGTCTTTCAAGAAACACAATGCCTCATCTACCATTAAATTTAAAAAAAAAAAAAAGAATATTAATGTAAACAGCAACACCTTTCCTAATAGTCATGACTGGTATATTCCATAACCACAGAATTTCTCTCTGACATGCTGCACTTAAAGATTTCAGCTTTTATTTAAAGAAACACAATTATAGGTGCACTGATATACTGACTGCATATCAGATCAGCACTGATAAAAGCTGAGGTCATTGTGGGACCCCTGGCACAGCTTTACGAGCACTCGTGGTGCTCTGGTGTGGTGCCAGAGGACTGGAAGAGGGCCAATGTGGTTCCCATCTTCAAAAATGGGAAGAAGGACCTGGGAAACCACAGGCCAGCCAGTCTTACCTCGATTCTGGGTAAGCTTTTTGAGAGAATTATTCTGGCACATATCCATGAGGGGCAAGCAGAGGAGGTTATGCTTAGGGCAATCAACACAGGTTTATTAGAGGCAGGTCCTGTCAGACCAACCTGGTGGCCTTCTACAACCAGGTCACCAAATCCTTAGATGCAGGGGTAGCAGTGATATAGTCTTTCTGACTTTTTAAAGCAGGGTACCTCTTCTGGTGGGTACCGCTTCTGGATGCAGAGCAGGGGGTGGGGGTGGCTGACAGCCAGCCAGATGCGGAACTGGTAGGGCGGGAAGCTCACACATGGCTGCCACCACCATCTATACACTCCTTGTTGCCGCTGGGCACTGCTTTCCCGCACCCAAGTATCCCCACTTCTCTGTGCCACCAGCTTTGCAGCCGGCCAGCCGACTGGCCAGCCATCAGCAACACCCCCCCCCCCCCC